AAATGTATAATAAAATTTTAAAATCAAATATTTGTGTAATAAAATCTCGAATTTGAATTTATGATATTTAAATTTTGAATCCGTCTTTCATTGTTGATGTCAGGTTTTACAACATGTATTCGTAAAAAAATCAATTCCTCATTTTGAGTATTCGAATTTTATTCCTTAATTTCAAACTTTTTAAAGGTCCATAAATTTTTTTGGAATTTGTTGAGATGGTTTAGGTTGAGACTCGAGATATTCAAATTAATTTAATATAAGAAGAATTAAATTCGAACCATGAAAAAAAAATTGATGAAAGAAAACACAAAAGAATTGGGGCTTGAATTTATTTTGATATAAAAGCGTCATAAAATAGAATAAATGAAGTAATATTTAATATTAAATAATAATATATTCAGTATATCATTTTATATTTCTAATAGACCCTCGACGTTAAATCGAAATGGACTGTCAAGAGGACATAACAATACATAAAATTATACTATATGGACAGAGTATATAGTTAGGTAAACACCTTGGATCCAATGAAACACATACATAAAACAAATTAAGAAAAATAAAGTAAGCTAAAAAACGAGCTACAAAAAAATAATTAATTATATGGATCAATTTGTAATTACCTTCCATATAATATATACATAAAAAAATTCATAATATACATATAATTAATCAAATCTCTCTCTCACATACAACGTGTATACCTAGTATAATAGAAATCGATGAAATGATCTTCTATAACTATTTATAAATTCAATTAAAAAATATTTTCAAAATACGAAGATATTTAATACACATTAAAATGAAATATACATTTACTGACCAAAAAAAATACACATTATTTATCAGACTTGAAAATATATATTACTATTCTTAAACAATAAATATTCTATTTAAATAATAATTTGAAGGATATATTTGTCTTTTCCTTTTTTTACTGTTTTTTTTCTTTTTCATGAAAAGCAAATATGATTAGTAGTAAAATGTAAAGAAAATGGTGGCTAGTCTTCTCATCATCAATTACGTGCCATTCTCCTCTTTTTTCTCAAAGTATGTGCAACAAAAAGAATGGTGTCCCATTTTGCATAGTTCACCATTTTTTCGTGATTCAAAATTTCGATATTATTTTTATCAAAAATTTACATAAACATCTGTTAAGATCTTAGGTATGGAGTTAGTTGGTCATAACGATCAAAACGATACATTTTCAAGGTCAAACGAGCTTCAGAGCAGTAAATAAACCTCCTATTTTATCGATTTTCGCGTGTGATAGTCCATAAATTTTTTAGTGATATGAAATTTTGACATTATTTTTACCAAAAATTTAAATGGACGTCCGTTAAAATCTTATTGTATATTCTTTTGTCTCAATTTATATGACGTTATTTAATTTGATATGAAATTTCGACGTTATTATAACCAAAAATTTAAATAGACGTCGGTTAAGACCTTATTGTATACTCTTTTGTCTCAATTTTATGACGTTATTTAATTTGATATGAATTTTTTTTAAAAATTATTATAAATAATTTATTAAAAATAAAATGAAATAATTATTAAATATAAAAATATTCAATTTTTTTAAATCAAAATTAACTAAACAGAAAAGTAAATCATATATCACGTTAATATTACTCTAACAAATCACTTTGGAATTAGTTGAAATAACCCAAAATCATGCATTATTTAAAATTTTCCAGCCTAGCTCCCAAAACAATATATTTTTGCTTATCTCACTTGTTCACGCAAACTATAAATCAAGATTCTACATGTATAATTTATCTACTTGTATTTGATTATAAATCATTTGTAATTATTGCTCATTTGTATTTACATGAATTATTGATTGGTAGGGTCTATAATTGACATTATTTTATTGGTAACTCTTAGGTAAAAAAAAGTTTGACTCCACACATTTAACTAACCTATATGCAATCATAGGCAAATTAGGCCCACCATGGGGAAATAATTGTTTATTTATTATTCACAAATTATTTTTTCAAATAAATATATAAAATCTTTAATTTTTTTATAGGTTTAATATACAAGTATCCCCTCATCCTATGCCAAAAATTTCAGAGACACGCTTATACTATGCTAAGGTCTTATTACCCTCCTGAACTTATTTTATTAATAATTTTCTATACCTTTTCGGCCTACGTGACACTATCTTGTGGGCCCAATGCTGGTTGACTTCTTTTTTCAAGCTAGTGCCACGTAGACCGAAAAGGGTTGAAAATTACTTATAGAATAAGTTCAAGAGGGTAATAGGACCTTAGTATAATATAAGTGCGTCTCTGAGATTTTGGACATAAGTTGAGGAAGTACAACTTAGATGAAATTATTTTTTTTATATTAATTTCTTCATATCCATGCATATTAATAAAATCATGACTTATTTAATAAATAATTTTAAAAAATTAAACACAAATAAGTTAGTACTATATATACGTGTGCTTTTTTTTCCCAACAAAAATACGCATTTTTTCATATTGTTTATTTTTGAAGTACTTATTAAATAAGACATTTTATATTTAAAAAAATTATGAATTAATATGAAGAAATTAACATAAAGAAGGATAAATTTATCAAATCATAATTAAATTTTATTTATTTTAAATAGATACAAAGAATTATTATAAAAAAACAAAACGAGAGAGATGAGAGAGACAAATATATTATCGTAAATCATAAAAGATTTGAAAGAAGGTCTCCAAAATTATCCTAACATATAATTGCTTGCTAAATTATTTTCAACTACTTTTTTTTAAATCTAATTAGCTGTATCGATTTATACGAGTTTTTTTTTTGAAAAATATATATATAAAAAACTAGTATTGCATACGTATAAAAAGACAAAAAAGTAGCTACGTAAAATGGCCCCTAAAAATTAATTTTTTCATTTGTACACTAAAAATAAACACTGAATAAATGATGATAACTTCCTCTTGAAATTCTCTAACCATTTATTACGGTAGGTTGCAAGCCTAACTAACAAAATTTACTTAATTTCAACATCAAATGACCTACATCTCACTAATTTTTAATTTTTTTTGCTTCGATATTTTGTATCTGTTTTAAATTTTGATTAATCTAAAATTAAAATATTTTGTATGAATTATAGTTCCATTTTAAAGTTTGAATTTGAAATTTCTAACTATTTTTTTTCCGAAAAATACTTATAATCCTAGTTTAATATTTGAAAATTAACTATGATTGATTTTCAGTGGGTGATAAGCATAACGAATGTATGTAATATAGAGATAATTTTACCGTTATTTAATTAATCGACTTATTTATTAAAAATAATTTAATTTCAATAAAAGCGAGTTACAACTTGCGATTCGATTCGAGTAATACTATATTCGTTAATCTTTTAACCCTTAGGTTTTGAACAAATTATTATAACTAACTTCTTTTCAAACTCCAAAATTGTCACCCTCCAGCTGTAGGGTCCCCTATACCTACGTGGCTACATAAGCTCCATAATCTTATAAATTTATTTACTCACTCCATTAAAAATAAAAATATTTTTCAAAAAATAGTAGGATTATTAATAATTGTTTTCTATAAAAAAAAAACAAGTAGTATTATCATTCGTCAACATTTTCATATTGTTCTTACATAATATAATTCGTATAAAATATTGTTATATGGTATTTGCATGCAATTGTTATAGACGATTGATTTTACAAAAAGTGTATTACTATAATAAATATCATTGTTATTTATTTATATATAGAATGTTCTTATATAAAAGTAAGAACATAAAAAAAGTATTGATGTAAAGAAAATCAAGTTATTATAACGAGGAGTCATAAAATATGATAAGTAAAATGAAATAAAGAGAGTAATATTATGGAGCCATTTAGTAATCTCAGAATAAAATGTAAGACTATTTTATTATGTATTTAATAAAAGTGATATGTACCATATAACTCATCTAATATTTTTGTCTTCGATGAAATTAGGACCTGAGACCTCATGACTCTCAACTACTTTATTAACTACTAGACTATTTTATATATATTTTTTATCATATAAGAAATTTGGGTGTGGAAAAAAAAATCATTTTATAAGTAGTTATAGTAATAGGTCATTTTTTGCCTTAAAAAAAATCAACTTTGAAGGACATTTTAGGAATTTCCTACAATTAAACTAATCTAAAAAGTATAAGAAGAAAGGAGATCTCATATCATTCATCATCAGGTGAAGTAATATAAAATTAGTCAGATTAGCATCTATGATTTAAAAGGTCAATGGGATTCATGTTATAGATGCTTTTGCCTTTTCAATATTACAATCCCCCACCCCCCTATCAACCCCTAGTTTACCCCACCCCCTCTTTTCAAAATTGGGTCGAACGGAAAAAAATTGAGGGCTCAAATCTATTCTCATTAACAAAGTGAAAGTTCAGATAGCAGACGAATTGAATCACTAAGAGCAAGGAATCAAATCTAAACTATATCAATGAAGTAAAAATTCAAATAGTTAACGAACTGAACTAGTAACTCCCGTCCCTTGTTTCTCATTTTTATTTGCCTTCTTTACAAGTATAGCCAACAGTCACTGAAATCCAAAAAAGCAAAGATGACCTACTTGAGACGGCTTTTAACTATATTTAGCTGGACAGACAAAAACCAACTTATTATCCTCATCCTCTTTCTCTACACCTCTTCCTCTTTCATACATATATTTTTCATATATATATATAAAAAAAAATATACGAAAAAATTACATTATATATATATATAAAAACACAATTAAAGTGTATATATTTAGATTATATTGATAAATAGATGATACATATTATTTGGTATGTATTTTAATATTATACCAGAGCTTGAATGAACTAAAGTGACCCTTTTGGGTTATCTTGTTAATAAAGAAAATACATTTGCTTTTTTATTTATTTATTTTGTGTATGTGTATACTTTTTTTTTTTTGTATTTTAAGGGGGAGGGGGGGTGAGATTGACAGACAGATCCCACCGAAATAAATTACTAACAAATTCACTACACCCCATCTTCATAAAAACCCACAGAATTCACCAATCTTTTTTGTTGTTTCATTTATTTTTTATTTATAATAATTTTTTTTTGCTTGTTGAGAAGAAGAAAAAAAGAAGAAGAGGGGTGACTCCTCTTTTAGTATTAGAAAGAAAAAAGAAAAAAGATGCTTGGTGTTTCTTCAAGTTTAATAGCTAGCAGTAATACTAGTATTACTGCTGGTGCTGCAGGTGATGGAGCTGCCATTTCGGCAGCTCCATCACAGTTAGCACCGCCACCACAAGAAGCTCCGGAGAGTGGTGGGAGTAGTGAAGGTGGTGGCGGTGGAGGAGATTTGTCGATTGGCGGTGAAGATGGAGAAAGGAACTCAGGTGGAAATCGATGGCCAAGGCAAGAAACTTTAGCTTTACTGAAAATTAGATCGGAAATGGATGTTGTTTTCAAAGATTCAAGTCTTAAAGGACCGTTATGGGAAGAAGTTTCCAGGTACTGTTTTTTTTTGGTCATTTTGATTAACTCTTTCATCATCATCATATGCATAGAATTCAGAAAATTAAAAGATCTATTATATTTGGAATTAAAATTCGTATTTGATGGAAAGTGTTATTTTTTTTTAGTTTTGTTGTTATACCATTTTCTGCTGATTCCAGCAAGAAATTTAGGATGAGTTTAATTTCTCTACTCATCTTCAACACTTTTTGTGCTTTTCCCTATTTTCCAGAAAATTCAAGCTAAGATGTTGATGATTGATGGTTTATTATGTTTTATTTTATGTATATAAAAATAGTATGAGATTTTGTTTTTTTATTACTAATGAATGATGAATATGAGATGAGATAATTAAGACAAGGTGTTTTTCTTTTTGTATCCATTTTGAACTTTGTTGTTTATCAGAAAACTCGCGGAGTTGGGTTATCATCGAAGTGCTAAGAAATGTAAAGAGAAATTCGAGAATGTTTACAAGTATCACAGGAGAACCAAAGATGGTCGTGCTTCGAAAGCAGATGGAAAAACTTATCGATTCTTTGATCAGTTACAGGCTTTGGAAAACAATCCATCTTCTCATTCTAACATACCGCCACCTCCATTAGCAGCAACACCCATAACAATGGCAATGCCAATGCGATCAGGAAACAATTCAGCAAATCCTCCAATGCCGACGCCAACGCCAACTCCACAAAATCATAATCATTTTTTTAGTGTTTCGCAGAAAAGTGTTGTGACAGGAGCAGCGCAGCCTGCTGTTATGACTGCACCTGCGCTGCCACTGTCACAAGTGCCGATAGGTAATAATAACTTGAACCAGATGCATCGGCCTCAAGGTAATACTACTACTACAAAAACAAGTTTCCTGTCGAATTCAACTTCATCATCATCTTCAACTTCGTCGGATGAGGATATACAAAGGAGGCAGATGAAGAAGCGGAAATGGAAGGAATTCTTTGAGAGTTTAATGAAGGATGTGATTGAGAAGCAAGAGGAATTGCAGAAGAAGTTTTTGGAAACGCTCGAGAAGCGCGAGAGGGATAGGTTGATGAGAGAGGAGGCATGGAGAGTGCAAGAGATGGCTAGATTGAATAGGGAACATGATCTTTTAGTCCAAGAGAGATCAATGGCAGCAGCTAAAGACGCAACAATCATCGCCTTCTTGCAAAAAATAACTGAACAGCAAAACACACAAACCCCGAATAGTACAAATAACACTTCTCCTTCTCCTTTTCCAATTGCTCAAATTCAATTAAAATTGTCCGAAAAGCCATTCAGTACACCACCACAACCACAACCACAACCATCAGCTACCGCGGTATCACTGCCAATGACAATACATACACCAACACCAGCACCACCACAGACACTGACATTACCTGTAGTATCATCAAAATCACTTGAACCTCCAAAATCCGATAATGGTGGTGAGAATTTCTCTCCAGCAAGCTCGTCAAGATGGCCGAAAGAAGAAATCGAAGCATTGATAAGTCTCCGAACCTGTTTAGATCTAAAATACCAAGAAAATGGACCGAAAGGACCACTGTGGGAAGAAATTTCATCTGGAATGAGAAAGATAGGATACAACAGGAATGCAAAGAGATGCAAGGAAAAATGGGAGAACATCAACAAGTACTTCAAGAAGGTAAAAGAAAGCAACAAAAAAAGACCAGAAGATTCCAAAACTTGCCCATATTTCCACCAGCTGGAAGCACTGTACAAAGAAAAAGCCAAGCTCGAACCTGTACCACACAACACTACCTTCGGATTAACACCCCAAAACAATCCTCCTCCTCCTCCTCCTCCCATCATGGCTCAACCCGAGCAACAATGGCCAATTCCTCAAAATCAACTTCACCAGCAAAATCGTGATCATCATCACGATAATGAAAGCGACAGCATGGATCACGATTTGGAAGAGGACGAGGATGAGGACGAAGAAGATGAAGGTAATGGCTATGAAATAATAATCACAAATAAACAACAATCATCATCAATGGCGGCTACCCCAGTAACAACAACAACTTCTGCTGCTGCAGTTTAAAGCACAAAATTAAAATTGATAACAACATAAACAGCAGTAGTTACTGTGCATTGGGAATGGCAAGTTGGGCAACAGATTGTGCAGAGAATTGTCGTATTGGGCAAGAGAAGATGGTGACTGCAGTAAAAAAATAAATAAATAAATTATAATTTGGAAATTAATGCAAAAGGCATTTAAGTTTTTACACATGTTTTTTTTTATTTGGTAAGGGGGTATAGTTTTTAATTTTTAGTTTGTGGTAAAAGTATATTTTTCATTTTCATTATTTATTTATTATTTGAAATTTGAAAAAAAAAATAAAGTTTTCTTTATTGAGGGATGGGAAGGTTAGAGAGAAAAGAGACATAATAAAAGAATAAATCCAGGGATAATGTAATTTTTACTCTTTTTTTTTTTCATGGGGGTGTAAATTTGAGAAAATGGTTACTGCATTTTGAAATTTTTAATTGTTAAAAGTTTGTTGTTATAACTTCTTGCGCAATAGATATACTAGTCATATCATGTGGGGTATATGATTTTGATACATGTGAGTACAGTTCGATGCATAAATCAAGAAGTTTGGCTCGAAAATATCGTAAGAGTCATATATATTAATAAGATTATTTATGTTATTTTTCACATAGTTTAACGGTATTTTTGAGTCAAATAATAAAGGAATAACATTTTTATTCCTTTCACATAGTTTAAGGATATTTTTTACCATTTTTTTTACAATTTAAACTTATGACCTATAAATCATATAATTTATAATTTTCTGACGCACAATAGGTCAATATATTCTTATGTAACAATTTGCTAATTACAAAAAATGTAAATCGCGCTAGATAAATCCAATGCCATAAACTAGCGATCAGATATACTTTTCTCTTATGAAATCGCATTTGTTATATATACTAGGGAAAATGTTCTGATATACCCCTCAACTTTGTCATTTGGAGCTAATATACCCCTCGTTATAAAAGTGGTTCATATATGCTCTTACCGTTATACAAACGGCTCACATATACCCCTACCGTTACAAAATGGCTCACATATACCCTTCATTTAACGGAAGTTAAAAAATTAGTTTTAAATTTATATTTATTACTTCTAATTTTTTTAAAATTTTTTAGGGATATATATGATTCTTCTATCAAAGTTCAAGGTATATTTTAATTTTTTTCATACATAAATTATTTTTTGACTTCTTTTATTATAATTATTTGAATTTCTTATTCTTATTTTATTTTTTTCTTTCATTCCTTAGTTTAAAGAATAAAAAATTAAACTTTTTTTTGTGTGTATTGTAATTTAATTTCGTGTTCGAAGAAAAAATTTGGTTATCTACAATAAGTTTTACAAGATTATTAGTGAAACATAAATAAATTTGATTATCAAAATAATAATTATAAATTAGTCATTAAAATAAAAAAAATCAAAAAAAATATGTTTGACGAGGATTAAATTTACTCATATGAGAATATATTTTTTAGAAAAAATAATAAAAATTTAGATTAAAATTATTTTTTTTTCATTTCCGTTAGAGAAAAAGGGTATATGTGAGCCATTTGCTTACAAGTAGGGATATATATGAGTCACTTTCATAACAAGGGTATATCAGCTCTAAATAACAAAGTTGAGGGGTATATCAAACCCTTTTCCCTATATACTATCTCAGTCATCAAATATATGTGTTTTTTTCATTTTTTTAGAAGGACTTTTGTATCATACAACAATCTAATTATAAGGGCCACAGTAAAAAAATTAAGATATTAAAATTCATTTATTTATTTTGATTTTCTTTTATGTGTCTCTCATAATCTAATATAATAGTATCATTGAGATTTGAATACAGAGTAAGTTAGAAATAGTGTCATTTTATAAGTATCCACCAAAATAATTTTTTGTTTTTTTTTTTGAAAAAGAAGAGAATCATTTCACAGTATACCAAAATATTGGCCAGCCAAAATTATTACTATTTTGATCAGCAATAATCTAAGGGAATATATTGTGTTTGTCTTTCTTTTCAACCAACAATTAACATTTTATTTTTACACATATAAGTACAATAAGAGAATAATTAAGTTTTAGAATTTTGTATAATATAATCTATACATTATTGTAAAATTAACATTTCGAGGGTGTTGCGAAGCAATAATAAGGCAATATATACTAGTAGTACTTATTTGTAAGGTGTGGGGTCGGAAAACTTTTTCTATTTTTTTTTAATATTTATATTAGGACTCATTTAGATTCAGTTTCACATTTAGTAGGATACATTTCTGAGACGATCGACGAATTTTTCTCTCATTATTTTTAAAAATTTAAATTTGAAATATCAGATTAAAAATTGAAAATTCATCACTATTCTACCACGTATCATATTGGTGGGTTCGAAAAACTTTAAATGTAGTGAAATGAGCATAATTTTGATTGGATATTTGACTTTCATATAGCCCACAAATGTTGTTGTTAGAAGAAAAACACAAGGGAAAAAAGATAGAATAATAATGATGATAATAATGATAATGGATGGTGAGAAAAAAAAGAGAGAATTATTGATAAGTTGTCGAGTTTATGGTGATTGCTTTATTTCTCACATGACTTGTTGGGTTAAGAAAAAATTTGGTATCGAGTTTAAATTTTGAATATAATTTTTTTTTTGTTGAAGTTTGAAAATATTATTTTTAGTAAATTTAGTAATATACAATTTAAATTTAGTTAAAATTTTAATACAAGCTTCAAACATCATATATAAAAAATAAAAAAGTGATCTATTCTCACTTTTCTTAGATAAATAAATGCCAAAACAGTACTCTTAAAGAAAAGTATTTAATAAGTTCAAAATCAATTATACTAACAAGATTAAAATCTATTTTCAACTAGTAAATATGTCATCTATATAATAATAAATAGAAAAAATCATCATATCCCATTTTTAGTTAAATTGCATTGATTTTAAGAAATTGTACGTCTTAATTAATCTACCTCAACCTCTTTTTCAACTTCATTTATCATAATTTCACACTTAAAAAGAAGACTATTGGTTCAGTATAATTACTATTTTCACTATCTCAATTTATATGAGTTAGTTTGATTTGACAATAGAATTTAAGAAAAAGAACTTTCGAGATTTGTGATTTAGCTAAAATAAGTGATAAATATTTGTGTGACTATAAATAGTTTTACTAAGATAAAATGAATATTTTAAAATTAAATTTATTACAAAATATATAAATATATCAATTTTTTTTTAATTAATCAAAAAATAAATATAAATCATATAAATTGAAACGCCAACTATTATATATAGGTTGTACTTTTCATTTCTTTTGATCTTAATGCCTCGAGGCCTAGTGCTTACTTATGTTTCTATGGCATTTGTACCTCTCCACATGTTCGAAAAATAACTAGAATTATTGCTTGTACTATTTGTATTTAGGCGCGAATTTAATGTGTTGATTAAATCAGTTGAATATAATAATTTTGGTATAAATTTTAAATTCGTTGAATATATATAAATTATCAATCTATAGAATTGAGTAATTTTAAAGAGTTAGAATTTTGAATCCATAAACTTGAAATTATGGCTCCTATATTACAGTTGTATTCAAGTGATCATAAGATTAAAAAAAAAGTATGATAAACATTTTTTAAAATTTAGCTCAAATTATGAATTTCGTAGCCGTAAAAACAAATCTTTAGATGACTAGTTAAACTTTGATACACTGTCGATCTATCACATGACATAGCAAGTAGTCGCAAACTCTTCTAGAAGTATGAGACTTTAAAAAGTCGAGAGAAATTTTAAAAACACTATTAAACTTGACAACAATTTAGGAGTGTATTTTATTCATATCGCATTGATCTCTCCAACAAGAAAATAATTACCTATTTTATTTTATTTTTTATATATGCATGGTCAATTATTTAATCATATTGTATGTATATGTTGTATAAGTAAAGTAATACCATGTCATAAGATTCTTTTTGTCTCCAATTATTCGTAGACTACATTGATAAGTTACTTCAACTTAACAATAACTTTTTTGTAGACAAAATAGAACTAGCTTAAAAAAAGAATAATCATAGCATGTATACAATCACTAATATAAGTCTAAATCGAATAATCAATTTTTTTTAAAAAAAAGAATATGACGTATTATAATGCAAATAATATTTGACACAATATCAATGTATATAATTGAATTAACATAGTTCATTTGAAATGAGTCGTGAGGAAATAAGTATTATGCAGCTAAGTAAATTTGAAAAAGATGTCTGCAAATTATTTGTCGTGTTTATCTTTTTATAAATTATATAAATTAATTATAATGTATAATATAATTTCTCTTTATTTAATATTTATTTATTTATGGAAAAATGTACAAATACCCCCTCAATCTATGTGTGAAATTTGAGAGACTTATACTATACTAAGGTTCTATTACTCCATGAACTTATTTTATAAGTAATATTCTCTCCCTTTTCGGCCTCGTGACACTAATTTGAAAAAAAAAAGTCAACCAATATTGGCTCAAGATAGTGGCACGTAGGACAAAAAGGGGTAGAAAATTATTAATAAAATAAGTTCAGAGGGGTAATAGTACCTTAATATAGTATAAGTGTGTCTCTGAGATTTCGGACATAGGTTGAGGGATTACTTGTGCATTATTCCTTTATTTATCTATATCTTTTAACAATTGAGGTGTTTACCATTTTCAAGAATAATTACTCAAAGGATAAAATGAAAAATGAAATTTTATCTTAAATTTTTAAATTGATAAATACTTGAGATATCTATTTTTAGAAATCACGATAAGTTATAATTTTGAGACGATGGAGAATATAGAGAAGAGAACAAGGGTGGCACAAAATTATTTTATGTGAAAATTAACAATTCAAATTTTCATATTCCAAAAGGATTATATTTATATGAACATTCATTCTATTAGTAGATAATATAGATGACATTCATATTATAACTATATTGGCTATTTTGATTTATATAAACACTTAATGTATAGATTTTTTTTTGATTAATTTAAGCATATAGAGTTAATTAGTCCAATTAGAAATATACTTATAAGCAATTTATATAGGGAAAATGCACAAGTACCTCCTCAAACTATGCCCGAAACTCTAGAGACACACTTATATTATATTAAGGTCCTATTACCCCCTAAATTTATTTTATAAGTAATTTTCTATCCCGTTTTAGCCTACGTGGCACTAGTTTGAAAAAAAAAGTCAACCATCGTTAGGCCCACCAGATAGTGCCATGTAGGCTAAAAAGGGGTAAAAAATTATTAATAAAATAAGTTCAAGGGTAATAAGACTTTAGTATAGTATAAATGTGTCTCTGAGATTTTGGGCATAAGTTGAGAAAGTACTTGGGCATTATCCCATTTATAAACTTTTTTCATATACACTTTAATATATTAAATACGTAAATAATTTGAAAGGGAAAAAAGCATGATTTTTATAAGTTTAACAGACATATCATAAACATTACGTAAATTATAGTTATGTTCTTGTTCCATAGTCCACACTAATAACATGAACCATAAAAGTGCATGGTAGTAACAAGCAACTATAATTAAAACTCTTTTCGCTTACTTTTATGCGTTCATTATAATTAAATTAGATGTTGATTTTTATTTGTTAGATTAAAAAAAATAAATTAAGAGATGATTTTATTATTTTATATGGAGTACTTTGGGTGCTTAATTAAATTAGATGTTGGTTTTTATTTGTTAGATTAAAAAAATTAAGAGATGATTTTATTATTTTATATGGAGTCATTTGGGTGCTCAATCAAATTAGATGTTGATTTTTATTTAGTAGATTAAAAAAAATTAAAAGATGATTTTATATGGAGTCCTTTGGGTGCTTAATTATGGATTTGGTGCCTCGGAGCACTAAATTTTTGTTTTTCTGAAAAAACTTTATGTGAACCTTCGTAATGAGTTGAGAATGCATTACTCATACTCATACCATTATTATAACATATTTTTAATTCACAAACCATTTTTAGAAATTACTCAACTTTCTTGTTTTTTTTTTTGTGTGTTTTAGCCCATGGACCTGACGCCTCAGAGCACCCAAAAGAAAATTTTGAAAAGACTTTATAAGAACCTCTGTAACGAGTTGAGGAAGCATCACGTATACTCACATCCTTTTTAGCGCATATTTTTTTCATTTACAAGCTATTTTTAGGAATTATGTAAATATTTTGGTTTTTCATTTTTCGTGTGTATTAGCCCATAGATCTGGCACGTCAGAGCACTTAAAAACATTTTCATGAAAAAACTTTACGAGAACCTCTATAATGAGTTGAGGAAGTATCACGTATACTCACACCCTTTTTAACACATATTTTTTCATTTACAAGCTATTTTTAGGAATTACGTGAATTTCATGATTTTTCGTGTGTATTGGCCTATGAATCTGGCTCCTCGGAGCATCCAAATAAATTTTCTGAAAAAACTTTAAGAGGACCTCTATAATGAGTTGGGAAACATCATGCATACTCACACTATTCTTTTGCCACATATATTTGCATTTACAAGACATTTTTAAAAAAATTACACGACTTTCTTAATTTTTCGTGTTATGTATTAGCCCATGAATCTGACACCTCGAAGCACCCAAAAGAGAATTGTAAAAAAAACTTTATAACGATCTCCGTAATGAATTGGGAAAGCATCACATATACTCCTATCATTTTTTTAAACATATTTTCGCATTAACAAACCATTATTAAAAAATCTTTTCTTGATTTTTCTTCTGTATTATAACATGAATCTATCACCCCGGAGCATCTAAAAAAAATTCTACCAAAACTTTATGAAAGCCTCCGAATTGCATTTTTATTTATTATTTTAAATTAAAAATATGCGTCAAACTCAAATATGGACACGTATTAATTTAGACATGCAGCTTACTTTCATGCAATTATTTATGTATAATTCAATATTAAACTATAATACACATTATAGTTCTCCAAAACTTATGTAACGGTTTTTTTTAATTGTGATAATTACATGTATCCGTTGGTAATAATACAAAATTCAGATTTGACACTTCTATTTGTAGTATAATTTAGTCTAGATAACAATAATAATAATAACAATAATAATAATGATAATTAATATTAATAGTAATAATAGCAAATTTGGTCTAGTCTTTTGGGCTTTGTAGAGATAAACAAAAAATTTTAGTTTAGTCATATACACCCGAGCCCACATATAGATAAAGGATGGGAGTAATACAAATAATATACATATAGATATAACATATACATACCTATACACTAGATATACAATCAAAGTGTATCAAGAATGTATACTTCAATCATGTTGGTAAATTAGATGGTCGAAATGTACATTTACGTAAATTTTCCTTTTATTAATAATATAAACCTCTTTTTTAAAACAAGCTATTGATAGAAGGAAAAATTACTTAGAAAGGGCCAATGGTTACCAATACTATGCGCCGATAGCTATCAATTTTATTAATTACGAAAATCTCGCCTTTTAATTTACTTATTACCATTATTCTCTATATGTTTTACAAATTTTTAAAATTCCTCATTTTCGCACATCATAATAGTGTATCTCGCGCATCAAAGTAATGTATCTTGCGCATCACATTAGTGTATCATGTATAAAATGTATCTCACACATCAAATTAATGTATCTCGTGCATTAGATTAGTGTATCTTGTGCATCAAATTAGTGTATAATGTACAAAATATAAATTGGATTATTGTATCATGTATAAATTGTAATGTATCTTACTTAACGATTAATGTATCTCGCACATTAGATTAATGTATCTGTTTTGAGAAATTTTTGTAACTATAAAATTTTAAGAGATAGATTGTAATTTTTCCTTAAAAGTATGTGATTTCTGTAATTTGTCTACAATTGGATATTTTTCTAGCAAAAGTAGTTCTTAGAGTATATGATTTAATTGTATCGGTAGTGGATAGCTTGTTTCCGGTAGAGCTTCGTCTCAAATAAAGTATGTCAAATCAGATATATTTAGAAAAGAAAAAAGTTGAAAATAATGGAAAAAAATAATTAGGAACAACAAATCATACAATAACCGAATCAAAAAATGCATTCTAACCTTAATCAGACAACAACTCGAGGTCTAAGATTTAAATTTTAGCTCAGAAAAAACACTAGATAATTTTTTCGTATCATCTATTTTTATTGATAAACAAAAATAGGAGATGTCAAATATAGCGTAGAATTAAACAAAACTGGCCACCGAATGAAATATGCGCTATTGCGGCATTCGGCAATATAAAACATATGCATATTTGACCTAGTCATTTTTACATTTTCCTAAAACCAAAATCCACATTCTCTTTGATTTATACTATTATCATTATAAATAAAAAAATTTTAATTGAATCGGTTAATATGATGTAGTTTAACTTGACACAAAATTAAATATTAAAAGAAACACATCTAACCTTGGGAGGAGCTAAGGTGGTTAGTGTATATACAGTCTTACTTTTATCTTATATAAGTAGATCGTAAGACTGTTTCAATACACCCTCGATTCAAATAAAAATGTATAAGAGGATGAAACAATATAATAATAACAACGACAAATAATACGATAGCTGATAAACGCGGGAAGCAAAGTAGCCTTGCCGTTTATTAGCCGGCTATACTCCCAATTTTTAACATCCTATAAATATGCTTCAAAACAAACATTATAGCAAGAAATAAAGAAAACTTTCACAAAAAAATAATTTCAAAATGGGTTTGAAAGCTTTGTTGGTTGCAATTATTGTTGTTAACATGGTTATTGTTCCAACTATGTCAACAGACCATTTTGTTGGGGATGATCAAGGTTGGAAACTTAAATTTGACTACAATGCATGGGCTGAGAGTAAAGAGTTTCATGTTGGAGATAAACTCAGTATGTTATGTACCTTCTAAGTTATATGTTGTTCGGAATCTTTAAAATTGTGAGTTGGATTTTCTCAGTAGTACATTTTTGAAGTATTCGATACGAGTGAAGTACTAAAAGTGAAAGAGTTTGTGCAACTCAAGTTATGTCTTCATTTTTTGAGGATATATGAAAGTAAATTATTATAACTAATAAAAGATTTTGCGACAATTATTTCGTGATAATAATATAATTGTAATTATATTATGTTTAAGGGCAATAATATATAAAAGATATTTATAACAAACACTTTATATTAACGCTAAAAAGGCTTTATCGACTCTGAATATATATAATAATGATATTAACTCAATTATCGGTAAATATGATTTTGCCACTATTAAGAAGTCTCATATATAAGTAGAGGGATTGAGAATTTTGTTTCCTTATATGAATTTGGATAAATTAACCTTCACTTATTAGCTAACTTTTGAGGACGAGTTAGCCCAGATACCCATAAATTATTTTTATTAGATATTAAATTTTTGGATACCCTTCGTAAAATTTCTGACTACGCCACTGTTGATGGATGCAGTATTTAAGTACAAGGAAGGAGCACACAATGTATACAGAGCAGATCTAGCTGCCTTCCAAAGCTGTGTACCTGGTGCGAATGTTGAACCCTTAACTTCGGGAAATGATGTGATTGATTTGAAAACTCCGGGAAAAAAATGGTATTTTTGTGGAATTAATAATCACTGCGAACAAGGGATGAAGGTTTCCGTTAACGTTCTAGAGGCTAAAGATGGTTCATCATCATCAGCCTCTAGGCTTAGTACTCTTAATTCTGCATTTGTTGCTGCATTTGTCATGTTCTTGATTGTTATTGCTTAATAATAATATTAATCGAGTTGCCTGTAAGCTAATGTATCGTGGTTAAAAAAAAAACTAATTTATCTCTTTATATAATATATTTTGAAGGAATTTCAATGGAATAATAATTATATGTTTTAGTGGAAAAAAAAATAACTATATATATATATACTTGTCATAACAAGAAAAAGAATGTTGATTTAGCCTTCTATATAATTTAATCGGAAATATTTATTAGATATTTCTTAATATTATTGTTCAAGAATGTAAATTTATAAAAGTTATAAGTAATTAATAAATATTTACTTATAATGGATGCAGACTAGGATTAGGAATCAGATTCGAGGTCAAAATTAGGGTCAAGAGTCAGGTTAAGTTTCAAATTCTGACTCGATCAGAAACACGAGTTTGGACCTCAACTCAAAGCTCGGAATCTAGCCTATCAATATCGAGCAAGATTAAGCCTCAAATTTTGGCTCAACCAAAAATACGAGTTTGGACCTCAGCTCGAGGCTCATAATCCAACCTATCAATGCTTACCAAAACTCGAGACCCAACTTTTGATTCGAAATCTGACTCTCGTTACCGATCTTGACCGAACTCCTAATCAAGACTTCTAACTCAGGACATAATTTTTTAGCCCAATTCAAGAAGCTCCCGAGTCGAGGTGGAGTTTTGAATAAAAAATTGAGAGTCATTTATCGAGTTGAGATTGGATCTCGAGTCACGATTCGAAGTTGAGACAGATTGAAAGAAAATTTTAAAAATATTTTCGATTGAAAATTCATTTTTCCTTAAATTTTAAAAGATAAATATATTTGAATACATTTCCCAAAATACTTAAAATAAACAAAACATGACAAAGTACAAAAAAAAATTATTAGTAACTTGCAATTGATCAATTTTGGTATAAAATAAAATTTGGCAATTCAACTTTCCCTAATAAAATTTTTGTTATATAAATATGGTGCACTTTATGGGACCCACAAAAAAAATTTCCCGCAAAACCTCAACTTCTGTTCCTATTTCTCCCGGGAAAATATTTATTTCCCAAAAAAAAAGAAAAAAAAATTCTTCATCTTCATCATCATCATCATCTTCTAGGGTTTCAAGAATCATCTATGGAGAATCCAAGCTCGAATTCCATGGAACCTCAAACACCCTTTGATCCCAATTCCAATATGAACCCCAAAACTCCATCAAAGACTAATTTAATCCCGGGTTTCAATTCATACCATCCTTCCCCTTCACGTTCAATTTACAGTGACCGTTTCATACCCAGCAGAACTTCATCTAATTTTGCGCTTTTTGGGTTGCCATTGTCGCCTAAGTCTTCTAATACGGAGGATTCTAATAGTGGGTATACTTCTCTTCTACGTACTGCGTTGTTTGGCCCTGATTCGGGGAATGTAGTGAATCCTGTCACACCGGAGAAGGGTGTTCGTGGGAATGGGAGGAATTTGAAGAGACCCAATTGTAATATTTTTAGGTATAAAACGGAGACAAGACAAAGGTTGGATTCTTTGTTGCCTTATGAGTTTGATGACCAGATGCGTGGTGTTAGTACTAGTCCTGTTAAGGTTCCCCGTAAAGTTCCGAAATCGCCTTATAAGGTACTCCCTTCGTCCCAATTTAAGTGTCAGAAACTTTTGAATCTTGTGATTGAACACAGTTTAAGCAATAAAAGAATAAAAGAGAGATTTTTGAATCTTGTAGTCTTAAATTAAATTATTGATATGGGTAGTTCTTTAAATCTTGTGATCTTAAACTCGTCAAGTAGAAAGAGTAAACACTTAAGTTGGGACAGACGGAGTAATTTTTTTGAGTTTTTCGGATGATAATTATTAGTAAGATGTTTGTGTGGATAGTGAAGTGTAGAATTTGGGCGTCTTAAGTTCGAGTTTCAGCTAGAATAATTAGTGTGAGCTCATGGGGTTGTAGAGTAGGAATGATACTTATTATTATATGTTAGTCCCCTCAGCGGCCGCCTACATCACCACCTTGTTTCCTCTTTTCTTTGTTATTTGGTTCTTGAATATTCTCCGTTTTAGGATTCGATAAAGTTGTTATTTTGTTACCGTGTGAAAAGGCTTATGATGGTGCTTGTGTGGGTTCTTGATAGGTACTGGATGCCCCTGCATTGCAAGACGACTTTTATCTAAATCTTGTGGACTGGTCGTCACAGAATGTGTTAGCTGTGGGATTGGGGAGCTCTGTATATTTATGGCATGCATCTAATGGCAAGGTGACTCTATTGTCTTCGTTAACTTTTTCGTTGATGGAGATATTTATGTACTTTTGCTAGAGAAATGCATCTATCTGATGAACACAATTTTTTCTGTTGAATGCCTACTGCAGGTAGTGAAGTTGTGCGACTTGGAAAATGATGATAATGTTACTTCAGTTGGCTGGGCACAGCGAGGTACACATCTTGCTGTTGGAACAAGTAATGGGAAAGTTCAGGTCTGCTATGCTTATTTTGTTCATCTTGTTGTGTGTTTTTATATGAAAGAGAACTGTTAACAGGGGTCAATCACTTTATTCTTGAACTATTTTAGATTTTTTCTGTTAATATGGTCCAGTACTACACAACTACACATCCTTACGTCAAAAACATAGTCTTTCTCAACACCTTATCAAAATAAATAAAAATCTGCTTGTCCTAGCACTGGTGGTACTGTAATATACATAAAATGCCTTAATCTCGCTAAATTGATTTTTGTCTCAATCTTCTCTGTATATGTTAATTCTACAAGCTAAATTTTTTCAACGAAATAAAGTAGCATAAAACTTGAAGAGCTTGTGAGGCTGTTCTCTTGGAAATATTTGGAATTTGCATCTCAAGTTTTTATATAGATGTAAAAGGAAGCTTTTTAATACATTCGTTGTGAAGTTGTCATATAGTGGTATATTTATGAACGAAGTCTCACAAATGGACTTAAGCTTGTTACGACTCAAGATAAGTTCCATGGAAAAAAATATTTGAATGCTTAGGCTTGTTATCCTGGTTGTTGTTCCATACACTGCTGTAATAAATCATTTTTTTTTATTAAATCTATTTCCCCAGACCCTACTTTGTGGGATTACACTAGGTACGTTATTGCTGCATGCACAATCTATTGCATGTGGAAATCAGTTTTCTATTTGACATGAAAAATTATTTAGAACCTCTCTGTTGGATGAAGAATAGAGGATTATGTTTTGTTTATGCGGTTAACTGATGTTTGAATCTCATTTGGCATAGTTATGGGATGCCTCTCATGGTAAGATGACAAGAACAATGGAGGGACATCGTTTAAGAGTTGGTGCGTTATCTTGGAGCTCCTCCCAGTTGTCTTCAGGAAGTCGGGACAAGAGTATTCTTCAGCGTGACATACGAGCTCAAGATGATTATGTCAGTAAGCTAAGTGGTCACAAGTCAGAGGTCAGACTTCCTTCTTGCTTCTCATTATTTAAGTCATTCTTGTCAGGTGTTTTGTTTTACTTCTGCTTGCATCTTGATAAGCAATTACTTCTTTTCAGGTTTGTGGGCTCAAATGGTCTCCGGATAGCCGTGAATTAGCTTCTGGTGGAAATGATAACAGAGTATGTGTTTAATTACCAGAATCAAGCTAGCTGATATTTTTCTTTCCCTTAAGCTGTTGGTTACAGTTTCTCATATAAATCTTCATGACCAGCTTTTCGTATGGAACAACCATTCAACACAACCTATATTGAAATACTGTGAGCATACTGCTGCTGTAAAGGCGATTGCATGGTCCCCCCATCTTCACGGACTTCTAGCTTCTGGTGGTGGCACAGCTGATCGATGCATTCGATTCTGGAACACAACCACTAATACACACCTCAGCTGCATGGACACTGGCAGTCAGGTATTTCCCTATACCTTTTTTAGATTTCTGCCTGTCTAGATCATTGCTTTGGTTATTAAATAACTCACACCTGACAGTAAATTATATTTATCTACCGGAAGAGAATACTATGCCATCTAAGTTATGTGATCAGAAGAACTGTCATGCTTTTCAATTTCCTTTCTGATTATTCCATGGCATTTGGATTAAAAAATGGTTTGATTTTTTTATTTTTTGAAGAACAAAGTGTGCCAGTAAAGTCTACCATATTTCCTCGGATAGGGTAATTCTGGTTTACTCAAGAATTTGTTTACCTCCGTGTGCGAAATGTGTTTAAATCTTACACATCCTCGATCACATACATGCATCCTCTCAGCTTGCATGCACTTCAACTTAATTCATCGGGCAACTCTTTCACCCCACAGCTCAGGTTGTCAAGTTAATGCTGTTTACTAAGGTTGGAGCTAGTGAACACCTTTGTTTTAGCTGGGATAGAAACTGTTGTCACTACCATGGCTTAACTAGTATGTCATCATGTTGTGATCTCCAAGAACATTTTAAATCATTCAAAACTAGGTTCTGCCTTTCTAATTGATTCGCTGAACAGTCGGGTTTCCCATGTCATCAAAAAGTAATGTGGACATCACTCGTCATTTCTAATACTCGGTTTTAATTATCTTGTATGTGAATAACAAACATTAGGGTTGTGTCCTCAAATTTATTTCTTAAACATTGCTATTGGACTATTCAAACCATCATAACCTTCCTCTTTAACCTCCCCCGCCCATCCTCTTCCTGTCTCTTTGTTTATCACAAATTTCTTGCTCTACGACCTTCCCCACAAATCAATTTAGTTTGTGCACCAAGACAAACAGCACTATAGTGTTGTCGATAGTATATGCCCATCAAGTGCTTTTCGGTTACACACCTATTCTGTTGATTGAGTTATGGTTACTAAACAGCTAAAGAATGGAAGGGTTGCTGAAATTTGGGAAATCTTTGAATATGAATGAGAGAAGGAAGGGAAAAGAGCAAAGGAGAGGGAAAGAGGGATGGGTGGTTACAAAAACATTACCGGATTGTGCGAGATACGTGTACCTGTAAACATGTGAAGGAGGTTAGGAAACTGTCCCACAATCCTTGCTCAACCTCCCTTCCTCCTTTGGTCTCTCCATGTGTTTTGATTTCTTAGATTTACAAGTAAATATATCTACTAAGATATACTAACTCATCTGATATTGTGACAGGTTTGCAATCTTGTGTGGTCGAAGAACGCAAATGAATTAGTCAGCACTCATGGTTACTCGCAAAATCAAATAATACTTTGGAGGTATCCTACAATGACCAAGGTATTTCACCCAAGTTTTCAAAATGTTACATGAACATAGATTTGTTTTAGACATATCATGTTGTACTAGCTTCATTATGTGTTAATTTTTCTTTATTATCGCAGGTAGCTACTCTGACTGGCCATACATATAGAGTCTTATATCTTGCCATATCTCCAGATGGACAGGTAGCTACGCTAAACTAGTTTATCTTTACTATTTATTTCTGTGTTCTTGTCGCTTAGTTTCAGCAGCAGCAGCTTTATTTTCTCTGCTCTTATGTTTCTAACTGGTAGTATCATCTTTGCAGATGATTGTGACCGGAGCAGGAGATGAAACACTTCGGTTCTGGAATGTCTTCCCTTCTCCTAAATCTCAGGTAAAACATCTGTAAAAGGATAGTTATAGTTAACTTACAAACTTATTTAGCATCTCAGCGTTTTACGACATCTCACATGTGAATGAAATTGTCTAATGTAGAACACCGAGTCTGAAATTGGGGCATCTTCTCTCGGCAGAACACAGATTAGGTGACTCTGTTGTAATTACTTCTGACTACCCCTTAACGTTGTTTTCTCACGAAGCACAAGCAGTAAAGAGGAGCCTTTTTGATCTGTTTGATGAGAGATACTTGTAACCGACGTTGATATCCTTCATCTTTCAATAACATGTATTAGACTTGAAGAGTGAGATTATTCTGTGAATAGATCAAGCCTGTACAGCTAGAGATGTTATTTATTCTCCATTAACATCTTTCGGGCGTTCTGTAATATAAGAGAGGGAGGGAGAGAGTAGAGTTTTTTCGGGAACTTCTAATTTTACGCGAATTTTTGATCTCTTGTAAATAAGGTTTTTCTTTTCTGTTTCCTCTCATTCTGATTCATTGCTACAATGAGATGATAGAAGTGTTTAAACTGTGCTTTTTAGAAGTGTTTTGAGTAAACAAAAAGTGATCGAAGTGCAATTTGGTGCACAATCCCCAAATGGCCATTTAGAATTAAAGAATTACTACTAATATGTTTTTCTAGTCCTAAACATACAATGACAGTAAAATACATCAATCTTGTAAAGTTTGTAGACCAATACAAAACCATTTCAATCGATTCACTAAGCTAGTTATTTCACCTGCGTGTAATACATTCAACATTCTCAATATTAAACGCTCTTTAGATTTTCCTTGTTGAGGGGAAGCAACATGTGCAAGACCCTTGACATGGCTGTGGTAAATCCAAATTGCTATTGCTTGTATTCTCCATTTGAATATCACCAAATTCACTAGATGATGAATTAGTAGTTGTGGTGGAAGATAGTGAAGATGCTTCTTTTAAAGGACCCCAACAATCTACTTTGTTGAATTCTTGTATGTTTGAGTGAAAATGTACCCAAACCAAAGCTTCTTCTAACTCTGGGTAATTCTTTAGCAAATTCCCATCTCCATGAACAAATGCCTTCAAGACCTAGTAGATATTCAAAAAGAATAGTGTTAGTTATATATACTGATAATATAAAGATTTCTTACATGATTAGTTTAATTTACGGTATAACACATAAACATGTTCTATAATTTGATAGCAGCTCACATATGAGCCTTCCAACTTTTGATGTGTATATATAAATACTTAAATTTGTATGAAACTGAACAAGTAAACTGTGAAACCACGTCTTGGGTCTGATTCACACCTAAAAGCTAGATCAAAGGGAGGAGGACTGTGCAAGCCTTATAAAGAGTCCACTCATCTCATTAACCACCAACATGAGACTTTTTGCTTTAACACTCCACCTCACGCACAATGCTTAGCATCTAGTGTATGGGCAATTTTGGACAATTTTTTACCCACCTCACGCCTAGTGCTAAATATCTAATGTGCCAGATAATTTTTGGGCATTTTTTATATTTTTTAGAGACCCAAACATTGGGCGAGATGAGTCATGCTCTGATACCATGTGAAATTTAGGAGCCTAACTCACACCCCAAAAACTAGCTCAAAGGGAGAAGAATTGCCCAAATCCTTCTAAGGAGTTCTTTTAATGGTTTCAGTACCTGCGGGATTATTAACAGTACCTTTTTTAGAGAATGTTAATAAATTCCAAAATCCATTTCGCCCATTCTGTGACAACTTTGAGTGCGATCGGAAAGGAATAAGGCCCGAAATGCCTACGTCGAAAGAAAAGGCAGTCTTTAAGTGAATGCGAGTCCACTTATCTCATTAACCACTAATATGAGACTTTTGCTTTAACGTAAACACACATGTCCTACGATGACAAAATATACATAGCATGTCATGAAAGACGTAAATTGTAAGACAAATATGTTACTTGTTCAAGTTAATATAAATTTAAGTGTATAACATAAATATTAATCGAGATCAAGTTAAAGGACACGTCTACTATTAAAACTTACCACAGGTAGTTCCTTGCAGAAAATATAGTATCTGAGCCTAGCAACAAAGTCTAATAAGAAATGGTCTCCACTAATGTGACAATAAACATGAAGTGACATCTTCCCTTTAACTTTCTTCCATTCTGCAACCACTTCATCCCTTTGCAATCTATTATACCATCCTTCTAACTGCACATCAAAAAAGAAAAATCAATCATGAATTTGATCAAGTACTACTTCTAGTCACCACTAATGCTTGCGTTACGACAGACAGTCAACCTTAATATGAGATGTTTTATGCATCAGACTGTCCTTTGTTTTGCTTTTTAGTATCTTGTACAATTTTGTAGAAAACTACTAAGAAGTGAATATCTGAGCCAACTACACGGACCTTCCAGATCATTCTGCCTTAATATTTAACTGTAAACTCAATTCGTATCGTATTTTACGAAAATTACCTGAGAGTTATTGATGGTTTGAGAGACAGCAAGAGTGAGTTTACATGTAATATCACTATGTGTAAGTGTATATGTTCTTGGAAGTTTTGCTGGATGTTTTTTCTCATCTACACCTAAAAAAAGAACCTTCAATTTTGATGCTTCAAATATTGATGGTCCAAATAACCTTGCCACCTAAGATCATCAATCACATATAAATTAATACAAATAATTAGCGACTGACAAATTTTGTAGCTAAACAAGCAAAATCTCGATGTATAATAATAATAAAAATTATGTTAGCTACGAGAGCAATTACCGGAACAATGGATTGGCTCTTTTTGGAGTGTCCTCCTCTTCTTGTTGTGTAAACAAACACAGAGTTTTCTTTTTCAAGTGATGGAAGAAAAGAAGTAGTCAAAGTACTCATATTTGGAAACCTAAGAAAAAAAAATGATGGATTAAAAATTAGACTATACTTTTTTAAAGCTCCAATGTTGTAGGTGAAAATATAAAGTTGAGAATGAAGTTGTATATTATATAGTTTTTTAATTAGTAATTTGGTGTATAGTAATATTTGGTTTCTTACTTACGTAGTCGCCTTTCTTTTTAAATATTTTGACTTTCTATGGTCCAATTACAACATTAGTATTCATATGTGTATCCATGTTGAAAATGATGGTAACGTTTGTTTGAAAATTTTATGATTATTATAATAAAAATATTATTATTTAAGTTGGATGATATTTAATATTTAGATTTTGTTCAGTTATTATAAATATAATAACAAAATTAAAAAATTTGCATATATTTTATTCCTTCACGTACTCTATTTGTAAGTGATTATGTTATTGATTTTATGTATTAAGAAGATTATATATGTTAACTTTTTAAATCTAATTTTTCATATGACATTAATATCCTTTTTTAGCAACTTATGATATGTTTAATTACAATTTTTCATATGGCAATATGTTGAATCTGACTTTTCACATAACATGTTTAGATTATTCATAAATTTTTATATATTCTACCAACCTTTAAATTAAAAGGAAATTCTTTTAAAAAAATAATTAAATTTTTATATCAAATCATATAAAATAAATAAATTAAAACGAATTTTTTTTTGGAATACTAAGAGTAACTATTGCTTCTAGGGGTGTTGTGGGGGTTGGGTGCACGGTAAATGTAGACACGTGGGCGTTTACTATTCGACAACGCTAGTTTGCTTATTTGACCCTACTACTTAAAAGAATATTTTCTTATAACATTAGTATTTTAATTTAATTAAAATAATAAGGTAATTTTAATTTATCACTTATCCTGTGAATTTAAAATAGCTAATAAATATATAATAGGTGTATAATTATGTATGATAAGTATATAATAATATATTCACATCGTTTGAGGAAAAAAGTATATAATAATTATGTATGATAAGTATATAATAATATACTTGTTCACCATATTAAAAATAAATATTCAATAATATTTATCTATTTTATAAAATTTATGGATAATTTTATTTTTAGTTTTTTATTTATTTTTATCATTAATTATAATATATTTTAAAGACAGTATATTTATTATATTTAAAAATAATATAATAAAATTATTTTTTATTTATAATAAAAAAGAATGTATCAAATTAATAATAGTAAACAATTATTATTAAATAGAGAAAATAACCGTACAAACTTGATATTTTTGTCCGAGTTAAATAAAGGCCTCGAATAAATTAAAGAAGCGTAATAAACGATGCAATTGAATCATAAAAAAAACTTATTTTTATTTGGACCAATGAATCTCGTGAATCTCATAGTATTATAAATATCAAATGCCAAAAAAAGAAAATCACATATTCATTACAGATCCTGAACATTATCAAGTTTATAATAATGAAACTAGACAAAAATATATTTGTTATATTTAATTCAATCTGAAAAAAATCTTATTTTTATTTGGACCAGTGAATCTCATAGTATTTTAAATATCAAATGCCAAAAACAAAAAGAAAATGTCACATAATCACTAAAGATCCTGAACATTATCAAGTTTATAATGAAACCAGACAAAAGTATATTTGTTATATTTTTGTTTCATTATACATGATATAGATAAAGTTCAAATAGTCAATTAAATGTTAATATAATTTTTAAATATTTAAAGTTGGTTATAATTGTAATGTACTTTTTCCGTCTCATTTTATATGACATTTTTCGTATTTCGAAATTTAAATATGTCTATATTTGATTGCAAGTTTTTCTTAGATCCTTTTAACATTTTGAATTATCAATTACCGTGACTTATATTACTCTTTATGTAGTTTACAAATATACAAATTTCATTTCAAAAAAATTAAAAATTCTATACGCAAATGCTGGGTCAAAGTTAAACAGTTTGACTCTCGAAAAATAAAAAGCGCTACATAAAAAAGAACAGAGGGAGTATAATATTTTTTTACGTAATCTATAAATAATACTCCCTCCGTCCGAAATTGTTTGTCATGTTGCGCTTTTCGAAAATCAATTTGACTAATTTTCAAAGGTAAATTAGATCACATTAATTTGATATTTTAAACAAAAAAATTAGATATTCTAAAAGTACATGAAAATTACAATATTTTGCATATTAATATGATAAAAAATATATATTAAAATGTTAGTCAAGTTTTTATAGTTTGACTTTAAAAATAAAAATCATGACAAACAATTTCGGGTGGAGGGAGTACTTTCTCCTTCCCTAATTACTTGTCTACTTTTCCTTTTATAGTTATCTGTAATTACTTGTCCATTTTGACAAATTAAGAAAGAACATTTTTTACCTATTATACCCTCAATTAAATGACTAATACTTTGAAAAATGTAGAATTTTCCATGCGTCATAATTAATAGGGGTAAAATGATAAACTTATAACGTCATTAATTATTTTTTTAATAGGTGTATTATTGAAAAGTAGTCGAGTAAAAAGGGAAGGAGGGAGTGTATGATATTTCTCTTGTCTCAACATATGTAGCACAAACAGAATTTCAAGAGTTAATCGATAATACTCTTTATGTAATCTCCAAATTATATGACACAGATAAATTAATTTTATGAATGAAAGAAATCTTTTATAAGTAATTAGAAAATATTTGAAGTTGCCACTTATCATGATTTATAATATGTTTTACGCATTTTTTAAATATACAAAAAATAAAATAAAAAATAAGACATAAATTAAAACGAAAGAAAAAGATTATATATATATTATTTTTTTATATGAGAGACAAACATATTAACTATGACTACATCGATAAATTTGAGAGCAATAAATTTGATGTTTACACACCATATAAAATAGTATATTTGTTATTTTAAATTTATTTTAATCATAATTTTTTCTTTTTAAGAAAAAAAAAAGGAGAAGAAGAAGTATAATTATTTTTTCTTTGTTAGGTCTATATTTACCTGAGATATAAAATAATTTATTTTGTCATATCCAATTATTTTAAAGATAAATATAATTTAAAATAAAAGTCTTAAATTGAGTGATTTTATTGATACAAAACAAAGTTTATTTGTCTTATTAGATATATATTTCATAATTTAATGACCTTATTACAATATTATAACTCTAATTACTGGAACTTTTTAAAAGCAGGTGAATTAGTACGATATACTTGTTCTTATTAATTTACGTGATATTGAATGGTCAAATATGTCCCTGAACAATGCGAAAATGTCTAGATATATCTCTATTTGAAGTTTGACTCATGTAAGCCTTCGCCGTCTAACTTTTCACCCATATGTGCCTTCTAGACGTTAGTTGTTTTGTTGAAAATAACCAACTTATTTTTCTCTTCTTTAAATAACAAATGAAATTGTCACGTTTTCTTTTAATTACCACATGTCATTTATTCATATTGAAAAATGAATACACCATTTTTAGATAGGACAATCGATCCGTAAATCCTATCCCATCTAAATTTCTTTGGTGGATATTTCACATAAGCCGACAAATCATTATCTAACCCAAATTTTTTTGGTCGGAGAAACATCATCTCCGACCAAACCCATCACTTTCTCCTACGAGAAAAACACCATTCAAGGTGAACTTCGAGCTCTAACCATGAGCAAACAATAGAACTCCAATGAGCTCATTGAGTGCACAACCTCGGACAAACAACCACCGAATAGCTCCGACCACCACGAGCTCCAAAACATCACCCCACACACCTTATTGGTCCAGCAAGACAGCTAGCAAATGACCCAAGATAGTTGTATTTCAGATGTCAAATGTTATTTCATTTCAGATCAAGTCGAAGGAATTTAAATTCCGGCCAACTTGGGTCGGATATGATATATAGGTCGGATATCTGGTTTAAAAGAGGTGCATTCATTTTTAAACATAAATAAACTTCACGTGTTAATTAAAAGAAAGAGAAATATAAATTGGTTATTTTTAACAAAATAACTATTGTTTATAAGGGTATATATGAGCGAAAAATTGGACGGCGAAAATTGAGCCAAACTTAAACGAGGTGTATACTTAAACATTTTCGCATTTAATTACATATTTGACTTTTTTTCCTTTTTTTTTATATGTTTTTGAAAAAACTAAAATATTATAATCGAATATATTGAAAAAAATCAAATCAATTCATCGATTGTTGACAAAAATATATGATCCACGCCTTATGGGTGCAAAATTATTGCATGAATGGGACACCAAGCTGACCTACTTTTCTACTGAAATTATAAATATCGATTTGACTCTACATACACATTATTTAATAAGATGAAACATTTTTTCATAATAGATATAAAGAAAAGAAATGATATTTCTCCATTTTTTACATGTGCTCACATAAAAGTTAAAGCTGACAATATAGGTGGAGTCGTGTTGGTTTGGCATGGTCTAATTCATAATTTAATAAAATTGAAATTATTAGAGATTATTTAAAAATAAGATTTTTTTATCTTGAACCGGAGAAGTCTATGGTTCATACGGCTTGAGAAATGTTAAATAGATTGGTTTGTGGGTCAAATAAAAATAATATAGCATATCAAAAAATAAGTGCTAAATAAGAAAAAGAAATTCAAATAATAGTACACGTTAATATTTCTTTTTAACTATTATTATTTCTATTTAGATAGTAAATTCTCATCGACGTGTTGTGCCAGCTTCAACAAAAGCATTTTCAAAAAAGTAACAAAATGTATCTTTTATTCTGCTTTAATTTAATTAGTGTATAATTTTTTTGAAAGGGGAAGTTACGTGAAATGACGAACATTTAGGGTATATTATGTTATATAGCTATAGTTTTTATTATTTTAATCTGTGGCTAAAGTTTCGCAAAATTTTGCTATTCGATTTCCTAATTGTATAAAAACAGATTTTGTATATGCTTACCTTACCTATTTGTATATGATTTATGAAAAATTCATAATATATTCCGTTGTTTATATATTGACAAGCGAAATATACATTTAAACATCTGAAAAATT